GTGAAACCAAACTAGATGCCCTTCAATAAATGAATGGATAAAGAAACTGTGGTGTATATACACAATAGAGTATTACTCAGCAATAAAAGAGTGTAAAATTTTGGCATTTGCAGGTAAATGGATGGAGTTAGAGAATATAATGCTAAATGAAGTAAGCCAATCCCAAAAAACTAAAGGCCAAGTGTTTCCCCTGATAAATGGGAAGCTAATCCATAATGGGCAGGGGGAGAGGGGCGGTAGGGATGAGTGGAGGAACTTTGGATTTGGCAAAGGGGAGGTGGGAAGGAGGTATGGGGAGTAGAAAAGATGGTGCAGTGAGACACTCATCATTACCCTAGGTACATGTATGATTGCACGAATGGTGTGCCCCTACTTTGGGTACAACCAGAGAAGTGAAAAAAATTCTGCTCCATTTGTGTACAATGAATTGAAGAGCATTCTGCTGTCATGTATAACTGATTAGAATAAATAAATAAATAAGTAGGCTGAGTTATTATAATCCATTTACAGCAAAAGAATTCCAAAAATATTCTATTTACATTTTTATAACTCCAACTCATATTCCATTTATATCTATAGGTTTAAATATATCTTAAATTGTGAAAACAAAATATTAGTGTTCTTTCTAAAATTGTTTTTACTAGACATCATTATATTTTCAAAAATTATGTTTAAGAGTTATGATTTTGCCCACTACACTGGAAATGCATTGCTTGCTACCGTGACCAAGTGGATCATGAACATTTAGCCATTTTGCAAGCATACATCTATGTGGTTCTGATCCACAGTGATGGTGGTTATCACAACAACTAAAACAGAAATTTCTTCTGAGTTCTCAGCACTAAGGAAAAATCTCCTACCACAGCAATCAAATTGAGTTGCTGGAACTATACACAAAAGCTGTCCTATGAGGCTTTCACTGAACTCCACCCAAACTTGGGGAAAATGGACTTCACACATGATTCTTAAATTCTGGCTGAGAAAGCCACAATCTAAGAGCTGCTCTCTGGCAGCTCAGGCAGAATCAAAACTTGTCAATTGCACAAATGCCACACCCACTGGGGCCTATGGGCAGAATGTGCTGAGGATCCTCAGGTGCTACTCCAAGTTCACAACACATCCCAGGTAGTGACCAGATAATTGCTCTAGGCAAACAAGGTGGGGATCTCTGAAGCAGGGAATTAGCTCCCTAGAGTGGCATTTCATTGATGAGACATCATGAGTGTGTTAACAAGATACTAGGCTGAAAATGGATATTGAGTTTTAAAATGTCCTTTAGGTTAAAAGCATAGGAATAGGATCTTGATAGAAGTTGATAGAATCTCCTGGAAGTTTCTTAGGAGGTTAGCCATTGGAAAGGGCTGACCAAAAGTTTTGCCACTCATTCCTCAATAGAGATAGATCCTTCTTGGTACAAAAAGATTGGATTGAATTTACCCACAATCTGTATGTGTTTGCATGTGTTTCAGTGGGTGTAGTTCACAAGGAACAGTTACCATATGTCAAGAATTATGTAAGCAACATTAAATTTTTGTTCACATATCATTGGTATATTTCGATTATTCCCTTAGAGTCCTATTCTAAAGCTAAAAGACATAATATTGAAGCAGAAGGAAAATAAAGAAATAATAGAGGGGGATGCTTTCTCGTGAGTAAGGAAGGATATCATAGGAAGAAGAGCTTTTGGACTAAATCAAGACCACTTGGAAAAAAAAATCGACAGACCACATATACAAGTCATTCCTAGAACTCCAGGGAACGTGAGACCTAGGCTCTGCCTTCCAGCAGTCTGGGCGACCAACCTACAGTATAATGCTCAAAGACTTGAGTCTAATCTGGGTGACTTAGTCTTCTCCAGAGCAAAGAAGGATTTCTATAATCAGTAAAGAGACACTAGAGCTCTATGGGGAAAAGGCACTAATTAACAAAAGGTGGTGAATATTATCATGCAGCCATTGAGAACCATGTGCGGAAGGGCCTCCATGATTGGAAAACTGAAGTCACAGTACTGTATGGACAAAGTTACTGCATGTCACAAACATCACATCTTCCTATACCAATGTAAGAAAAGGACTCGTTGAAGTAGGCCAGTGTGACCAGCACTGTAAGAGGGTCAGTGACACAACCACCAAGGACAGAGGATCTGGAGCGACTGAACCTGGAGCCACTGAACCTAACAGGACACCAAGGAGGCTCAGGCTTGCTCAGGTCACAATGTCAAGTCCTCATGGACCCTCTGCTCTGTACCAGGGAAGAGAACAGGGCAAGATACTGGAAAGACCCCTAAGAGGCTTCTGGACTAGGCTTCATGGGGGCATGGGTAGCCAGAGGAAAATGACATCAATGGCTCCCAGATAAATGTTGGCCAGAAATAAATGGACCTCCAAGGCAGACACATGTTAGAAGACCAAGTACAGAAACAGGTCACAATTTTAAATTCCACCTGTGTTATAGCAAGCATCAATGGAGAATTTTTATATTGTGGCCTGTTAAGAGAATGAATGTTATACATAAGAATAAGAAAAATTAGATACAATACAATGATCTTGACATATCATACATTTGATTCAAATAGGGTATGAATTCTCATTTTCCACGTGTACAGATTGCAGGATCACGTTGGTTATACATCCATGTGTATACATACAGCAATCCTCATGCTCAGCTAAAATTTTAAAAAAATTTCTAGGTATTATACTTAATAAAAAAAAATTAAAAGAGCTGGTTATGTGGTTAAGCCCCCGCTCTGGGTTTAATCCTTGGTAAGCAAAAAAAAAAAAAAAAAAAAAAGGGAGGGGGCGCACTGGGATTGTGGCTCAGCAGAAGAGCACTCACCTCGCATGTGTAAGGCCCTGGGTTTGAGTCTCAGCACCACATAAAAATAAATAAATAAAGGTATTGTGTCCAACTACAACTAAAAAATAAAGATTAAAAAATTTATAGAAAAAGAAAAATTAGAAACAACTAATACTCAAGTAGAACCTAACCCATGACACTTCAAGTACTGAGGGCTAACAGTCTGACAGTGAACGTTATGGAGTGGGACACTCAAAAGAACTTAACTGTGGTTTGGCAAGAAAATGCTTCTGAGAATAAAGTGGGCTTTTCCACATGTTTGTCTTTAAGCAATATCATAACACAAGGCACTAAAACCGCCTTCCACACACAATCACAACATAATGCAAATGCAGCCTAACAACAGACTAGGCAAGAAATATCAATTTTGAAGATCAATGCTCTTTTGATCCAGCAATCCTTCCTAAGAACTCACCTAAGGGAGCAGCCAAGTGAACATAAAGAAACACAATGGAAGAAGCTCAATGCAGTGTCACTTGATTTTTTGAAACCTCTGGAAACTGCAGGACCCTTTGAGAGATGGGACATTAATTTTCTTATTTGCTCCTACCATATTCCCTCAAGGCACAGAAAAATATGGATAATCAAAGAGTGCTGAAAAGATATAGATGACCTTTTTCTCTCGCAGTGCCAGGCACCAACCTCTTGTACTTTTAACCTCCACTTCTGTTCAACTCCCAGATGTTGCTGAGACATGGAGATTTTAAAAGCCTCATCGCCCTACAAGTAGGCAAAAATTACCCAGCAGACAAGAGTGACAGCAAGTTGCATGCAGATGCAGCACAGTTTGAAGCACTCTCTAGCCCTACTACCTCCCACATCGTGCCCTACATTAGAATAATCACAAGTCTCATGAAGAGGGAAATGCAACTTTCAGGAGTGAACACAGCTTTGGACAAGTGTGTGCCTGCCCATGGGGAAGTCACCATCGGAAGCAGAGCCACAGATAGTAACGATGATGAGGACACTGAGCACTTCAGATCTGAGCAGGAGAATGAAAGTAAAGAAACAAGAGGTAAAGGGAAGGATGCCTTGAAAAGTCTGAATCGAGGAAAGCAAAGACAGCTGCCCTTGGTGCTAAGGCTTCCATCTCACTCCACTCGAAAACTTGGGCTGATGGGACACACAGAACTAAAACCAGGAGGACTCAAGAGGCATTCAGGTGAACAGCAAGGTCTGGCCCCCACTAAACTTATGTTAGATTATGGAATTTTAAAAGTTCAAATACAGAGTGTAGTTGAAGATAATGAAGATGGAACAGATATGCCCCAGGAGTAGTGGGCTCCTTGTGAGGACTCCTTGCCCTCCATGGATATGGATGCTTTCCTGAACATCTGAAACCATCTTGGATCATTGCACTTAACTAAAAGCTAGAAATAAAAATATATACATGAGCTGGGGCTGGGGCTCAGTGGTAGAGTGCTTGCCTAGCACACATGTGGCACTAGGTTCAGTCCCCAGCACCACATGAAAAAAATAAATCTAAATAAAATAAAAGTATTGTGTCAATCTACAACTAAAAATATTATATATATAATGTATATTATATATATATACACACACACACACAC